TATGATGATGATGATGATGATGATGATGATGATGATGATGATGATGATGATGATGATGATGTATTTGCAAACAGGTTACTCACTGAGTATAGATTTGAGCTAGATCTAGGTCTTTCCGATACGAATGTCGCCCAATGATCTGAGAGAACATATCTCCTGTAGTGTGCCGGGGTCGAAAGCTCGGAAATGGCACGTTTCGTCTGATGTCCTGTGCCTGCCATCCGACCACAGTGGAGGCCGCAGTGTGCTTGCCCTCTATCCGGGGCATCGCTCCTTTGATTTGGTGGTACGAGGAGACTGGCTGTAGTTCGTCCGTCCGTCCGTCCGTTCGTTCGTTCGTTCGTTAGTTAGTTAGTTAGTTAGTTAGTTAGTTAGTTAGTTAGTTAGTTAGTTTAGTTAGTTAGTTAGTTAGTTAGTTTGCTAGTTAGCTAGTTAGTTATGTTATAATAGGTTGTTTTTTTCTTATTTTGATATCAATGAAAGTCAACTCGGCGGTGGTTCGGTTGAGAGAGGCAGACAGAAGGAGAAAAAAGAATATAAAGACCGAGCAAGACTCGCATACAGAAAGAGAGAGAGAGAGAGAGAGAGAGAGATGAGTGGATTGGAGGAGAAAACACGCAAGCATTCTTCCCGACCCAGATACACCCCCCTTTCCACTGCGTGTATACACTAAACTGACAGACAGACACACACACACACACACAAGCAAACACACACACACATATGCACATACAGGCGCGCGCACACACACAAACACATATTTAAACAAACACCCACACAACTCGATAGATAAAGCAAAATAAGGACATGGGGACTATCAACGACACAATTTAAAAAAAATGAAAATTGAAACATGAAAAATAGAACCCTGTGAAAACGAAACCTGATGATGAGATAAAGCGCAACGAAAGACGCTGTACTGTAACCCATCTATAGCGTCAGGCTTGGTTGGTTAGATTGGAGTTGGAGAGTTTGGTTTGATAGGTGTTTTACGGCACTTGCAACACTTCAGGTCACATAAATGCCAAAGATTAAAGTTACAAGAGAGTAACAAACATAAAAGAATAAGGATACCAAAGGACGACCATGGACCGATAGTGGGAGAAGAAGAAATTCATACCAGAGTACTACCTCCATAAGATAAACTATATTTAATTTTCTATAAATATGAATTGTATTTTTAAATGTTGTTATTACCGATATTATGATGATGATGATGATGATGATGATGATGATGATGATGATGATGATGATGAT